CTGTAATCCTGGTAACATAATATTAATCCTGTAATCCTGGTAATATAAAATTAATCCTGTAATCCTGGTAATATAAAATTAATCCTCAATTCCTGGTAATATAAAATTAATCCTATAATCCTGGTAATATAAAATTAATCCTCAATTCCTGGTAACATAAAATTAATCCTGTATTCCTGGTAATATAAAATTAATCCTATAATCCTGGTAACATAAAATTAATCCTGTATTCCTGGTAACATAAAATTAATCCTCAATTCCTGGTAACATAAAATTAATTCTGTAATCCTGGTAATATAAAATTAATCTTGTAATAAAAGCCAATAAACTGTCAAATCACCCTAACTACAGCAAATAAAACTTTTGTTTGGTCCTGGGTCCTAACCCATAAAAACTGGGGCTTAGATTGGTCTACATGCATTAAATATTCACATGCTAGGATGATCAGTAGACAACCGAGTTAAATCTACTTTAACTTATGCACACACTAGTTAACAAACAAACTGGTAAATTCCCAAAATATTCAAATTAGTACTATATAGAAGGATAATTAACTGGAACATTTATGTACAAGCTGAACATTTAATAAGATATTATGGCAATACTTGTACAAATTAGTTTCCACTAGGGCAAATTACTAGCCAATCATTTAGAAATAATCTTTTAAAAGGCAGCTATGAAATATCACGTACGTTCATGCTCGAATCTCTGCCCAATTCCACTGTGACAACCATTTTTTCAGTAACTAAGTGACAAGATAATGTAATGGCAGGTAATGCTTAAGAGCTGTAAGGCACGAAAGTCGGTGTTATTTTGTATTACATTTGAAATTTACTGAACAGAACATGGGTAGATTGAAGATTAAAAATGGGCTGAGAAAATCATTTTTATACGAGCCATCAAATGAAACGGGGGATGGATTTTTGAAACAACTGAACTAGGTACTGCTTTTAATGCTGCATAGCCTATAATATGTACTAGTACTATTCATGAAGTTAACAAATTAAGCCGGTTGTTGTCTCCCTTACAATTCAACATTTATTGCCAATCTTAGTAAAGTATAGACCAACATGCCCATAAAGTTACATCAACTGGAACTAATTCATCCAGAAATAATTTAAAAAACAAATACGATACATCTGTGCCACACTATAAGCTGTTAACAAGAAATTTGGCACCAAATTTAAATAGTTTTCTATGAAAGAAGGTCACCATTTTTTTTTTTTATGAGACACAGGACCACCAGGAATTTTTCAGGTGTCTCGATGGTCCAGTCGACCCCTCACAGAGCCTCTAACTTGCTCTTAAGTGCAAAGATGTTTTACTACGTCATAAAACTTAACTAAAATAAAAGGCTTTATTTGAATTTATTAATATACTAAACAAGACTGTTATAACATGACTAATACACTGAGATCTATAAACTCTATGTTATGAAAGATGACCAAATTCTTTGAATCAGTGTGAAATTATAACTTAATATCAATTTACAAATGACCTTGTGTAAGTACTCAAAAACTTTATGTTTAACTTACTCAATGTATAACCTTTAGTAAACGTACCAGGCCTTGTCTAAATGCTTCTACATTACAGAAAACACCAAAACAAGTGTTTCACTACTGTTACCTTCCTTATAATGATGAATCTGTAGCCTACCAAAACATGTAGAAACATTTAGATAAGGCCCGATGCCTTCAATAAAGGTTTAATATGTAATTTTAAACCCTGGGCCATCTAGTTTTTATGACTTACATGATGTCTGTAACACAACTTGTAGGCCTGAAAGTCTGACGTTTAATACATTTGTAACATAATACAGTTATTGAACAAAAAATTTTCAGAATCATGAAAGTTCTTAATAAAATATAACACACTGGATAGAATTTTGAAAAAACCCTCTCTTTGATCAAAGAATTTTTCTTTCAAGATGATTCTAGTTTTTGTTAACATTTTCTTTGCATTCCTTTCCAAAGCAAACAGTTTTAAAATTACAACTGACCTTATGTTCACTAAAATAATGATATTTTATGGCTGACCAACACAGGATAAGATTTCTGATCCCAAAGATAAAAGTTTTTAGTTTTCTTTTCAAAAACAAATCTCAATAAATAAACAAGAATAAAAGATAAAAAAACAACTGTGCTGAATCAAACCAAACCTTTATGTCCTTTAATTGATGAGTTATTTGTCTCTCAGAAGACGACAAAAAATCATGAATAAGAGGTTTGGAATCTTCAAACAGGCACACTACAATACTGGTTATAATGATGCATGCCACAAGAGCAACAAAACTTTTGGATTTCATCTGTTCCATCATACCAAGCATGATGAAGAAGTATCTCTTATTTTAACCTATTTTAATAACATCATCTGTCGTCCTTTGTCTTGGAACTTGGCACAACAACCTCCATTTCTTTCTACTCTCTGCACTCTTCCGTAAACACTGTTGGGAAGAAAAACACGGTTTTATTTTCATACATGGCAACTAATGCTACTTCCGGATCTATCTGCAAGCTCAACAAAACAGCTGCATTTGTCCTCAATTTCTAAAAACTACTGTAAATATCTTTTAAAACCAACACACCCTAGTAAACAAAAATCATTAAACTTTTTACCATAACTGTTTAAAAGTAATACCTCTTAGAAACTACGTGGTCTAGTATAGACCATATCATATCAGTTACTACGATTGTGTCTTAATAGATTTTGAATTCCACTGTATTCATCTGATTACAAGTATAATGCATCAAATGTAACTGTAGATTATCCTGTGCATCAACTGTAACTGTAGATTATCCTGTGCATCAACTGTAACTGTAGATTATCTTCACCAGAATGTTAAACAAAAAAATACAATGATGTTAAAACGTGCAACAAAACCAATATGTTAATAATCATCATAAATAAATTTGACTATTATTTGTATTATTGTAAGGATAAATCCTGACTCAAGTACTAATTATTGTAAGGATAAATCCTGACTCAAGTACTAATTATTGTAAGGATAAATCCTGACTCAAGTACTAATTATTGTAAGGATAAATCCTGACTCAAGTACTAATTATTGTAAGGATAAATCCTGACTCAAGTACTAATTATTGTATGGATAAATCTTGACTCAAGTACTAATTATTGTAAGGATAAATCCTGACTCAAGTACTAATTATTGTATGGATAAATCCTGACTCAAGTACTAAGTATTGTATGGATAAATCTTGACTCAAGTACTAATTATTGTAAGGATAAATCCTGACTCAAGTACTAATTATTGTAAGGATAAATCCTGACTCAAGTACTTGAATCTGATATTAATGACACGTGGGAATATTACATGCTAATTACCAATCATCTTGACAAAGATAATAGGCATGACTGGAAAATTATTTATGATATTACGTTAAATAATAAACACATTGCAAACTTGTGACTCTCCGAGAATGCTATTTGTAACGTGGCTTGAATTATAATTGATACTTGAAACCGTTGGTACTTGGTGAAACTCCACAATTACAGAATTAAGGAAAAAACAAGACAACAAATACATCATGAAACCATGGTTTGTGAATAAATTATGTGTTTGTGAAACCTACAATTGTCTTGTTTTAACTCAATTCTATAGGTTTAACGGAACACGGTATAAACTTCAAGAGTGAGCTATATTTATTCTTAAAATAAGCCCTTCTTTTCTGTGGATACTTGTTTTAAGATCGATTAACAACTCATCTTAAACTGGAAAAAAAAAACGTTTCATACTTTAGTTTGTTTCATGAATTCTATAAGAACCATAACACACACACATTATGGGCTACAAATAGACATAGAGTAATGGTATACATTGACTGTTGAACAATATCTTAAACAAGAAATAAGCCCTCAAATGTCAGCAAAGAAAGTATTTCATCTCACAAACACCATGCTAATTCTAACACCTGTTTCATAAATAACTCAGAAGGAGTAACTTAACTTTGTTTTTCTGAAGGCTGATTAACGGCTTCATCAACCAGTACACACGTACCTGAATCATTGGTGTGGTGTTCAGAAACATGTAATACATTATACAATAACTCACCAGACACGTGGGCTATCATGGATTTTTTGCCAATAGGGGAAACTTCATTATTGCAGTCTAATCTTAACCTTGATACCAAATATTATCAGCTTCCATTTAGGTCATTTACAGGTCTTTTAAAAATTAGAACAGTTTAAAATCAGCTTCAATTTAGCAATAATTACTCTTTCTTGTTCAAAAAATATTAATTGTTCTTCATCCTCATTTCTTCTAACTATCACCAAGTGGTTAATGAAATCATGTTGTAGAGTATATAACATGAGCTTATAGTTACTGCTATCTTCCATGAATAGACAACCATCTGGTGGTGGAGCCACATACTATTGTAAATTTATAGATTGGGAAAAAAAAATATATATATATATATACTTCTTGTTAGAGATGACACTCTTTGAAAATAAAATAAAAATTCTATATTCTTCACATAAACAATATTTGATCTATTAATACTCTATCCAGGACTGAACTTTCTTTTTGACATACTTTGATTTTTATCCAACACAAGCAACTACTACAGTTTTTGTACAACTGATTTTCAGGTATTTCAAGCTTTAAAACTTTAGTGGTCAGGCAGTTTGTTTACCATTTCACTTATATTACGAATAATAAAACTGTCAAGTTAACTAAATGTTAAAAAGTTCTTAACACGAGTTATTTGTTAATGACAAGAAATAACTACTTAAAACTGTGTACACACGACTCATGAGAATTTTCACAGTGTTAACTTAAAATGTTGTATTAAGAACTGTGTACACACGACTCGTGAGAACTTTCACAATGTTAACTTAAAATGTTGTATTAAGAACTGTGTACACACAAGTGAAAGTTCTCATTAGGATGTTAACTTAAAATGTTGTATTAAGAACTGTGTACACACGACTCATGAGAACTTTCACAATGTTAACTTAAAATGTTGTATTAAGAACTGTGTACACACGACTCATGAGAACTTTCAAAATGTTAACTTAAAATGTTGTATTAAGAACAGTGTACACACGACTCATGAGAACTTTCACAATGTTAACTTAAAATGTTGTAGTAAGAACTGTGTACACACGACTAATGAGAACCTTCACAATGTTAACTTAATATGGTATATTAAGAATTGTTTGTTATGAATTTTGGGCAAACCTACATGAGGGCTATCTGCACTAGCCATCCCTAATTTAGCAGTGTAAGACTAGAGGGAAGGCAGCTAGTTATCACCACCAACTCTTGGGCTACTCTATTACCAACGAATAGCAGAATTGACCGTCACATTATAATGCCCCTAAGACTGAAAGGGCGAGCATGTTTGGTGTGATGGAGATTTGAACCCGCAACCCTAACCACCTAGCCATGCCAGGCCATTCATGAGAGCTTTTGCAAAGTTAACTTAAAATGGTATATTAAGAACTGTATACACATGACTCATGAGAACTTTCGCAATGTTAACTTTAAATATGGTATGTCATTATCCAACTTTTTGGGGCTATATGCTCATTTTGGTGATGATGTTTGTACAACATTTTAACTCACTTCATTTGTTTTTTTTTGCTAAAATATCTGAGGAGGAGAATGATTAAATTTCATATTCAAATGTCAAGTTGTATTTATTTAAATTCTGCAGGAATGCATTAATGTGACTTTGTTTGCAGTTGAAAAATGGATCATGTGTGTCCAACTGATTCCACAACTCATAATAAATAAAGTCATGAAACATAAAATATGAATCTTTAAAAAAGGGACAATCATTTCGTGGCATTATTCCAAAATAAGAGAAAAGTGTTCTAATTTCTTAATATGCATTTTCAGGTTTAATTTTAACAAATATTTTTTTACCTTTCTTAAAGTTCAAATTCTTCTATCATCCTCTAATTGAATATATGTATAATTAATCTTGCTAATATAATTACTTTTATTTAAAATTACTATTTTCATTCCTTTGCTATAAATAAATCAGTGTTTTCCAAATTCAATAAGATCTATATAGTTTACTTGAATAAAGTTATTTTTTTTGTCTAGAATTACAACTGTGACAAAAAAGAAGTCAAAGCACAACTACTAATATACTGTACCAAAAGTCTCATCAGCACAAGACAATGCAAAACAATCTTTTAAATGTCTAAACAAAGACTTAAAAGATAAGAATCAAACTACAGTATTCTTGGTAAAAGTCCAAAAGATAAACTATGTGCTAATGTTTCCATTTGTTTTTCTAAGATTGTTAAACTACTCAGAAAACAAATTAGAGATAACATCAAAAAAGTTACTAAGTTGGAAAGAATGTTGCTACATGATTCTCAAAAACATTGGCTCCAGTTTTTTAATAACACTAATTCGCTTACGTTCATTTTGAAATCGTATATTTGTCCTATTGGGTTCTATTTTCAGGGAAAGTTTTACAACAGTTTGTATAAAAATACCTACATGTATATTGACAATGATGCATCTGAATTTACCAAGTCTAGTGATAATGAATTAAACAATATTTGATATATTCATGGATTAATAGACATGTAATCAAATACAACAACATTCGCTCAATTTTATACTGCTTTTTTTTATACACTGGTGACTGAAAAATAATGCATTAAGTAGAGAGTTTAACAAATATCTATCAGTCGTTAAACTAGTCTAACAAATACAGTTTTCACTTTTCTAACCACAGTTTATTCATGTACCTGGCTGACTGTGAAAGTTTAGAATTATATTGTGTTAATGTTAAATAAAATCAAAATCCTAATAAAAGTTATATCCTACATTTTTGTGGGACAAGGAAGAGGAGATTGGTAGATTTTTAAGAACAAAACATAACATTTAAGGACAACAGGAAAGGGTCTACTGATCTATCGAGGCCAGCGGTTCCCAACCTTTTTACCACCAACGACCCCCATGTTTTTTGAAAGATTCCATCTACCCAACAAACTGTTTTTCTTACTAATAATTAACTTGTTTTTCCATTTTTCACTATCAAATAAAAGACATATAACTGAGTGTGCAATTAAAAGAACAGTAGAATTAAAAAACTTACTTGTTTAATGAGATGGTATTATCTTTGAGGTTGGGAATCACTGATCTAGGCTGTTCAATCCATGAAACTTTTAAAAACCAAACTCAAAGCAAGATCTTACCATTCAAATATTTATCAAACCTTCCCCTAATTTGTCCTAACATTTTTAACCATTAGATAAGAAGTTTTTGAAAAGTTAGACACCTACACACCCCCGGCATCACACTTGAAATAAAGAACATAAACCTCTTATAACCATCTACAAAACTATCATTCATTTAGTTTCAAGCAAGTTACTAGCTCCAGAAACAAATAACATCAAACTGACAGACATAAGGCTTTAATTGTTACACTAACCATCTTATTATAAAACACGTGAGAGAGGTTATATCCTCCAGGCGTCACCTCCTAGTTATAAAATTTTAGTAACAGGCATTGGAAGGGAAGGCTGGATATTTAAATTGAGTGCAAAATCATTACTCAGATATAAATGGATATCCAAATGGCACATTAAAACTTCAGATATTAATACCTGTTAGGCTCAGGGAAAGCAATAGCAACATTCAAAACTGTGTGAATCTTCTTCAGATTTTTCTAGAAATTGTTTCTTCAATGACCAAAGTAACATCAAGTGAAAAACCAGACTGGCTCACAAAGAGTTTGAGAGATAAAATTGAAGAAAGCATTATAAATTT